CCTACCCCGCCTTCCTTCCCCTATAGATTTACATGCTTTCCATGTCATTCTACTTTGATCCATTCTCTCTAAATGACCAAACCACCTTGACAACCCCTCTTCTGCCCTCTGACTAATACTTTTATTAACTCCACACCTTTTCCTAATTTCCACACTCCGAATTTTCTGCATAATATTTACACCACACATTGCCCTAAGACAGGACATCTCCACTGCCTCCAACCGTCTCCTCGCTGCTGCATTTACCACCCAAGCTTCACATCCATATAAGAGTGTTGGTACTATTATACTTTCATACATTCCCTTCTTTGCCTCCATAGATAACGTTTTTTGACTCCACATATACCTCAACGCACCACTCACCTTTTTTCCTTCATCAATTCTATGATTAACCTCATCCTTCATAAATCCATCCGCCGACACGTCAACTCCCAAGCATCTGAAAACATTCACTTCTTCCATACTTCTCCTCACAAATTTGATATCCAATTTTGCTATATCTAAATCATTTGATACCCTCATCACCTTACTCTTTTCTATGCTCACTTTCAACTTTCTACCTTTACACACATTCCCAAACTCATCCACTAACCTTTGCAATTTTTCTTTAGAATCTCCCATAAGCACAGTATCATCAGCAAAAAGTAACTGTGTCAATTCCCATTTTGAATTTGATTCTCCATAATATAATCCCACCCCTCTCCCGAACACCCTAGCATTTACTTCTTTTACAACCCCATCTATAAATATATTAAACAACCATGGTGACATTACACATCCCTGTCTAAGACCTACTTTTACCGGGAAGTAGTCTCCCTCTCTTCTACACACCCTAACCTGAGCCTCACTATCCTCATAAAAACTCTTTACAGCATTTAGTAACTTACCACCTGTTCCATATACTTGCAACATCTGCCACATTGCTCCTCTATCCACTCTATCATATGCCTTTTCTAAATCCATAAATGCAATAAAAACTTCCCTACCTTTATCTAAATATTGTTTACATATATGCTTCAATGTAAACACTTGATCTACACATCCCCTACCCACTCTGAAACCTCCTTGCTCATCCGCCATCCTACATTCTGTCTTACCTCTAATTCTTTCAATTATAACCCTACCGTACACTTCTCCTGGTATACTCAGTAAACTTATTCCTCTATAATTTTTACAATCTCTTTTGTCCCCTTTCCCTTTATATAAAGGGACTATACATGCTCTCCGCGAATCCCTAGGTACCTTCCCCTCTTTCATACATTTATCAAACAAAAGTACCAACCACTCCAACACTATATCACCCCCTCTTTTAACATTTCTGTCATGATCCCATCAGTTCCAGCTGCTTTACCCCCTTTCATTCTATGTAATGCCTCACGTACCTCCCCCACACTTACATTCTGCTCTTCTTCACTCCTAAAAGATGGTATACCTCCCTGGCCAGTGCATGAAATTACTGCCTCCCTTTCTTCCTCAACATTTAAAAGTTCCTCAAAATATGTATACAAAAGAGTAAGGTGATGAGGATAACAAAAAAAAAAAAAATAGGTAATGAAAGATTAGATATCAGATTGGAGAGAGAGAGAGTATGGAGAAGGAAAATGTATTCAGATATTTGGGAGTGGACGTGTCAGCAGATGGGTCTATGACAGATGAAGTGAATCATAGAATTGACGAGGGGAAAAAGGTGAGTGGTGCACCGAGTAGTTTGTGGAGACAAAGAATTTTATCCATGGAAGCAAAGAGGGGAATGCATGAGAGTATAGTTATACCAATGCTCTTATATGGGTGTGAAGCATGGGTGGTGAATGTTGCAACAAGGAGAAGGCTGGAGGCATTGCAGATGTCACGTCTGAGGGCAATGTGTGGTGTGAATATAATGCAGAGAATCCATAGTTTGGAGATTAGGAGGTGCGAGATTACCAAAACTATTATCCAGAGAGCTGAGGAGGGGTTACTGAGGTGGTTCAGACATATAGAGAGGATGGAACAAAATGGAATGACTTGGAGAGTGTATAAATCTGTAGTGGACGGAAGGCAAGGTAGGAGTCTGTCTAGGAAAGGTTGGAGGGACGGGGTAAAGGAGGTTTTGTGTGCAAGTGGCTTGGGCTTCCAGTAAGCATGCGTGAGCGAATGGAGACAAATGGTTTTTAGAACTTGACGTGTTGTTGGAGTGTGAGCAAGGTAACATTTATGAAGGGATTCAGGGAAACCAACAAGCTGAACTCGAGTCCTGGAGATGGGAAATACAGTGCCTGTACTCTGAAGGAGGGGTGTTAATGTTGCAGTTTTATAATTGTAGTGTGAGTGTGCCTCTGGCAAGACAGTGATGAAGTGAATGATGATGAAAGTTTTTCTTTCTTTTGGGCCACCTGCCTTGGTGGGAAGCAGTTGATGTGTTAATAAAAAAAAAATAGTTACTTTAGAATATTACAAGTATTTTGAATTTCAGATTGAAGAAATTTGACTATAGAATAATGAAACTTCTCATTAAAATTATTACTATATTATATACCAGTTTTGAAGAGGGATAAAACTTTTTAAACAGTCAATGATTTTCATACTTTCCTAAAAACCTTACCTACTTTATAGCATCACATGAAACTTGTACTTTTTAATAAAAAAAATAGTTTAAAATACAGAATTTTGCTGGATATCTACATGTCAAACGAATGCTAATTACAGTGGTACCTTGACTTATGAGTTTAATTCGTTCTGTGACCAAGCTCATAACTCAACTTGTTCATATATCAAATAAATTTTCCTCATTGAAATTAACTGAAATGCCATTAATCCGTTCCAGCCCCCAAAAAACCACCCCACATTTTATGTTACAGGTTTTTAAAAAAGGAAAATGTATTTATAAATAAGAAATATTGTATAAAAACATAATAAAAGAGAATGTAAAGAAATAAACTTTTTGTATAAAGTGTATTTACCTTGGAGATCAGACAACTTGGGCTAATGGAAGATGCTGGTGGAGGTGGAGGGTGGAAAAGGTAGGCAGAGGAGATTGGAAGAGTTCATTTCATTCATTCATTTCCTTCATGGGTTTGTGCCCTAGCATCTTCTCCTCCTCTGCATTTTTGTAAGTCCTCCTTGGCATCTTCTTCCAGAAGAGCCCTGTCTCGTCACAGTTGAAGACTTGCTGAGAGATATATCCTTCAGTTGCTATCACTTCTGCAAAAGTTTTGAGGTAATCCTCAGCTGCCTTCACATCCAAGCTTGCTGCTTCACCATACCTGACAACAGAGTTAATGCCAGTCCTCCTTTTAAAATTGTTGAACCAACCCAATTGGATTTAAACGATTTCTCCGATGCTTTAATTAAATGAACATCATCCTCTTCTTCTCAGCACTGTCCTTTGCACTTACAGTGAACCCTCTGTTTTCGTCAATATCCGTTATCGCCAATTTCCGTTTTGGCCAAATTTTTTCGTCAATTTTTGGCTTCTGTTTTTGTTGATCATACAGAACCTGCTCAGTGCCCAGCCCTCAGACAAAGCCACCTCCCACACGCATTCTCAGCCAGTGTAGCATTGTTTCTCGGTGAGTGAACACATCCTGCCAGGTCATACGAAACATTTCATAATAATCCATTGTTTTTGGCACTTGTTTATTGTGTGTGACTGCTAAATAAGCCACCATGGGCCCAAAGACAGCTTCTAGTGCCAGCCCTTTGATAAAGAATGTGAGAAACACGATATAATTTAAGAAAAAGTTTGTAGAAAATTCGAAAGTGGTGGTGGTAGTAATGGTGGTAGAGGGTGGTAGTGGTAGAGCATGGTAGTGATAGTGCTAGAGGGTGGTAGTGATAGTGGTAGAGGGTGGCAGTGATGGTGGTAGAGGGTGATAGTGGTTGTGATGGCGGTAGAGGGTGCCTTCTTCAGTGATTCAGCGATTCTGCTAACTCCTCCAATATTGTTGGAGTTATATAGGGCTACAGAAAACACCGCTGCCTCAGCTGCAGCCTTCACCACCACCATGGACGGTTTATTCTCTCAGTGGCCCTTATACATCCAACAACACCAACACAACACCAGTCGTGACATAATGATTTACTTTATTAATTCTAGAGTGTATGTCATGTTTCTATGTTATTAATATTGTTTATTATGTCATATTAGTTGAATTATGATAGATAAATTAGCCATAGAGTTGATATTAGTGTCATATTCTCCAACAATAAACTTGCCTCCCTCTCTCCTCCACCCCATCTGCCATACACCAACAAGTCTTCAATAAAAGTAGGTGTGATGTTAAATGTTCATTTATACATTTTATTAGTGCTTTACATTTATTTGTCATTCTTTTCTGTGTGTAAATCTATATTTAAGCTAGGGAAGGGAAGTGACCCCTGATGAGGACTTGGTACCTAGAGTCCTTATGGAGGGGGATTCCCCTTCCAAACAATAACCTCTCTTCCCTCTCCCCTCCTCCCTGTCTTCCATCCATCAACAACAGCCTTCAATAAAGGTAAGTGTCATGTGTAATGTTCATTCTTTTGTGCATGTAAATCTATCTTTAAGGTAAAAAATTTTTTTTTTGTTGATACTTCTGGGTGTCTGAAATGGATTAATTCCATTTACATTATTGCTTATGGGGAAAATGGTTTTGGTTTTGGCTGATGGCTCTGGAACGGATTAAACATGAAAACTAAGGGTCCAATGTACTTTCTTAGGGCCCATGGTTAGAAAAAAGAATTTTGGCAAAATAACTGCACAAAAAGCACAAAATGCAAGCACAACATAAGAAAGATGCTTCCACAGCAAGGTAACCACGTGCACTGAACGAGTGAGACGCGGGATGCTGGGTGGATGCTGTGGCATTCGCTGCACCAACTAGTGGCGGCATATCTGAAGTTCACTCATAACTCGAATTTTGGCTTGCAACTCAAAGCAAAAAATTGACCAAGCGATGGCTTGTAACTCGGAAAACTCAAAAGTTGGGGCACTTGTAAGTCAAGGTACCACTCTATATGTATAGAGACCATTCACTTACCTTTGTATCATACTGGTCAGGGAAAGTGACAATCTTATCATGAATGTCAGCATTCCTGGCTGCATCTTTAACTTCTTCATCAGTTGCAGTTACTCTTCCATAGCGTATGTTATAGCTTAAATATAAATAAATGCAAATTGGTTTTAACAAAAATCTTTTAAAGAAATAACTTGAATTTCTTTATAATTAATCAGATTATTTTGTATTGAGTAATCAGTACAGGTACAGTAATACAAATGATAACCAAGGAAAAATTAGAACAAACATGATAAAAAGATGTAGCATACAAATGAGCATTAAAATTTTTTAATATAACAGTAGTTTCCCATTAAAATAGGGTAACACAAAGATGAAAACAAGTTGACCATCGCTCAGCTTTAACAGTTTTTCCAGAAGTTCATGAACACTGAGATTCCATTGATCCACCCAACTGTAACATTCCCACCCATAACTCAGAGTATACTTATCCATTTAAAATTCCAACAGCATGTCAAATGTTAACATTTGTTTTAACACACATAACATCTCCCACCAAGGCAGCATGACAAAAAAAAAAAAAGGAGGTAAACACATTCACCATTATTCATTCAATCGCTGCCTTGTCAGAAGTGCACCTACATCACAGTTCAGCAGTTTTCCCAAACTGCAAATCCCCCCCCTCTTTCAGAGTGCAAGATGTACGCCCCACCCCCAAATACAGCCCCCTCTTCATGAAAGCCAAAGCTTCATCAAATATTTCTAGTGGGAATGAAACTGTCAACATACACTAGAGGGGTTTTTGGGGGTCAAGCCCCAGGGCCCCGGGTCTTGACCAGGCCCCTTGGTGGATCAGGGCTGATAAATCGGCTGTTATGCTGGTGCATGCAATCATCATCTTTACAAAATGTCAATTATTTTTATGATGCCACTGTTTTTACTTTGCATACAAAAAATTTTTGGGGAAGTCCTGCTAAACCTTCATACTGTTGATCTTATACAATCTCCTATTTGCCCTGAAATTTTCCTTTATTTTTGTCAGAAATTTTTTAATTTATTCCTTCTCACATTCGCCTTTTTAAAAAAAGGGAAACTTTATTTAAAAAATAGATTCATTAAAGGTACAGTGTCCTGGGAAAAAACCCTTGGCTTGTTAAGATTTTGTGTGTAACCCTTTATATTTATTCATCCAGTATACCTTTGTTTATTCATAAAAGCAACGGGAGACGCATTTTTTGTACTTTACCACTGCAGTAGGCCAACCCTGTAAGTTCATGAATGTAATTCTTCTTAGTCAATCCACACTGTGATGAACCACTAAACCACAAGAAACATTTTGGCAACTAGGATCTTATAATGAGGCAAAAAAATTTACAAATATTAACAACATAAATTTTGGCAGCTGGGGCTTCTCTATTATACTGGACTACCACAGGGGCTCCTTTACAGCGCTTGCAAACGGAATCTCAAATTACACCAAAACCACTATACGGCCCCCACCGACCCCCTTATAGGTCACCTGCCCCACCCGGTGTTTCATCTGTGAGCTCCACATTTCCCCTTATTCGGGAAAAATTCCAAAAAATTTTAAGTGTTTTAAAGTTTTTACATTTAAATATTACTCGATAATTTATTTATCTGTATCTTACCAAAATTTTAAATTACACACTGTGTGGCGCAGGTGCCTTAAATCATAAGGTGTTTTATCTTGATGCCAATTAACCCTTAAACTGCCAAAAAGTAGATCACATTTTCATGCAGTGTCAGATATTTTTTAAAAAAAAAAAAAGTTTTTCTTTTAAATTAAAGGGGGCAATTTCCGTGTATAATAAGACCAAAAAAATAATTTAGGATCATACTAAACCAATTTGGCACAGAGCTCATCTGATGGCAACATGGAGTCCTCCGCTTGCAGAAGTGTTGCCGAAAACCCTTTATTTCTCTTTTTTTTTTTTTTTTAATTTTTTAAAATTAAAAATTTGTAGGTGCTTGTGATTTCAAGCCAATGTTTGTTCTGCCCCTAACTTAGGTACCAAATAGTACTAAAATACGGGGGAACCTCTACTTGCGAGTTTAATCCTTTTCCATGACCTTGCTCGCAACTGGATTTCTCGTTTGCAGAGTAAATTTATCCTCATTTAAATTTAATGAAATGCAATTAATCCGTTCAAGTGGAATTCTGTATTCAAAAATTTGCTAATTCAACTCTACTACAGCTTTTTTTAATCTATCCACTTCATCTAATATGACATAATAAAAAATTAAATAAAATAGAAACCTAATAATACTCAAAATGAATAAAAATAGCTTTCAGAAGTGGTACGGCGGTGAAACGGCGGTGGAAAGGTTTGTCTGGACACCGGGCAAAAATTCAGAATAATTTCGCTAATATCATCTAACGGTTATTTATCTATCACATTCATCTAGTATGACATAACAAACAAATAAAACATAAAAACTAATATACTCTAAATGAATAAATATGTCATTCATGTTTGGTGGGGGGCGGGGGGGTCGGGGGGTGGACGGAGTTTGTCTGGAGACCGGCAAAATACTTCAGAATAATTTCGCTAATACACTAATCTTATTTAAAATCACAGTTCATCTAATATGACATAACAACAATATAAATAATAAAAAAAAACACGAATATACTCTAAATGAAAAAAATGTCATTATTAAGGGTGGAGGCAGCCACAACCGTTTTTCCTTTTTGTTTGGGGTAAACACTCCCTTTTGGATGGCCTTTTGAAGCCGTCTATTATTATAAATTATTTATTTAGACATTTTTATTATATAATTTTTATTATACATATTTATTATTATTATTAAAAGTTACATTATTTATTTTTTTTATTATAATACATATTGTTTTTATTCGATTTTTTTATACATTTATTAACCCCTTCGGGTCCAAGGGCCCAAAATCTAAAGGGGTGCCCCATTTCCCAAAAAATTTTTTGAAAAAAAAAAAAAATTAATTTTTTCTAACAAAATTAAAGAGCATATTTTTGGAAGGAATAAGAAAAAAAAAAAAATTTTTCTGATCAGTACTACCGGATACGGGCCCAAAGAAGTTTGTCAAAAATGATGGGGGTGCGGAAACATCGATGAATTCCACATACGCGCATTACTTATTTTGCGGTTTTTACTTTTTTTTTCTTTCTTTTCCAATTTTTTTCTTTCCTCTAACATTTGGGGCCTGAGAGACCAATTTACTGAAAAATGTATATATATAAACTCATGTATTGCACAATAACTCACTAAAGTTTTTTATCATATCATTGTTTCCACTGTTGTTTATTCAATAAACAGCAAAAATCTTGTTAAATAAAAATGTTTATCGAATTTACATTTTTAAAAACCCACGGGACGGGTTTTAGAACGCGGGAGCTTGGGGAACCCTTGAAAAAGGGCACCATGCACGAGGCACCTTACATTCCTCACACAAAAACCGAGTTTTTTGCGTTTTTGTTGCCGTCTTTTTTGTTTGTGCAAGACAATCATCTCTTCTGGCAAATTTTCTGAGTTTGAAGGAAGTTGTTTTATGAAAGATCCCCTTTCCCCCCTCAAACACTTGGGGATATCCTGAGGAATTTGAGGACCTGTTGTATAGCAGGTGTTTTTTTACCCGGTACTTCTTATAGTTTTGACAACAGAAAACAAAAATTTACCATCGGTGGTCTGTTTTCCAGTCTTTATTTGTACATATTATAGCATTTTAGCATTTAAATGTCCGAGATGGAAAAAAGTTTCATGTACCACTTTAACTCTTACGAACACAGTAACAAAAACCATCTGCATGCCATTGCAACCAAACGCATGTTTTGTGTATAACAATCACTGTCACTGGTTTTCGAATACGTTCTTAGTCACTCGATCAACTTTGCCACTGCTTGCATTTCCCCTTACGGTGAAAGTTTGTCAACAAATTTACATCTCATTTGTCATGCCACCTAATGCCATGATGTCATTGGGGAGTGAACACCTCACTCATCACCTGAGCCCTGCTTGGCCTGGGCATATTTTACGATTAGAATCACTGTGCCCACACATCTGCTTGTTCACCACATGAAATCACTGAGTAAAGGGCTTGTGTACCAGTTATCGGGATTAAGTATGCCCCTTCCAAGATAAGGTGCCATCATGTTTTCACTACGTCACCTGAGATACCCAATAACATTGGGGGATCTTTCAAAGTTTTGCTACCCGTGTATACAACAATACCAACACCAGCCACTGTCACAATCAAAGAGTACAAAAAAGTTTTATACCAAAGCTTTTCCCCTTGCTCGGGATATACTGCTTGAAACAGTCCCACCTTTTAACAAAATCAAAGATGTCATTACAAGATTCTTTAATGGATAAAAAATATACTGAACTTTTTCTTGAGATACATGAAAACTTTCTAAACTTTTATAACCCGTCCTTCTGTCAGGGCCGGGGGGGAAAAATGCAACAACGTAACAGTAAAATAAACCTGTTCACGGGATGATTTCACTGAAGACCGGGGTAGAATTAGCCGATCTTGGACCGTATGCTTTTTTATTATGCTATACAATGAGGTTTTAAACATTTTTTTTTGCAAAAAGCAAATACATTCTGCAACAGTCGCTCTTTCCACCCGTGTAGTCTTGATGGGGGGATAAAAATGTATTTGCCATGGTGTACTCAAAATACTTATTAATTTTTTCCCTGACAAGAATTTCCACAATGGCGTCAAAGAATAATTCAAAGAATTCCAGTTTTATTGGGTGTGGTTCCCCGGGGACAAGTAGGTAGAATTCCACTTTAAAAAAGTCATCAAAGTGGTGAGGCTTGGGAACAAAAAGGGATTTTCTGCCCAATCCCCCATAGGTTTGCTGGTGATCTGGCATCAAGGCGGTTTGCGGGGGGTTGTGGTTGTGGTGGGCTGGTGGCGACGCCCGCTTTGTCCCTTTAACTGACGATCAGCAGCATGGTCCCAGGTGGCTTGGGAGTACGCATGGGGGTGCCACTACCCTCCCACTAACACCATTTACTGATGCCTGTGGCTATCCATGCCAAGTGTAGCCACATCTCCTCACATCACTACTAAAACTGGTGTAGGGCCTGGGGTATACTCCCGGGGTGTACTCCCTCCCCGGGCACACTAGGGTACACTACCCGAGCGCATGCGGGGCGAAATCCGACGCTTCACTGGTGAATATGATTCCTACTATC